ACCATTTCTGGGCGACAAAAAGGATTTGGGGAAAGGCAGTGTCTCGGAGCCTTGTGCCAGCTCCCAGTGGTGCCCGATGGCGCTTTTGGAGAACATTTTGGGGTTGATGGCTCCTGCCCCACATTACTCTGAGCCATCCCACTGCCTAGCCACACCATGCCTGCCTGTGCTTTTACCTGCATCTTGCATCAGAGAGGCACTTGGGGCGATGGGGTTGCAGATAAGGGAGTGTTTTCTTCCTCCCATGTGCCATACTACAGAAAACAGCAGCTCCACGACCTGCAAATGCCCCAGGGCAAGGTCACATCCCCAATAGATCTGGAGCCGGGCAGCAAGCCCCGAGCAGGGGGACCAGTGTCAGGGGGGTTTGGTCCCTGGGGATGGAGAGGCAGAGCTGGGGGGGGTGGTCCTTGGGGGCTGGGGACAGCCAGCTGGCAGCTGTCACTGGCCACTGCAGGGCTCCTCTCGGCTCTTGCAGGCTGCGACTCAGGCTTTGGGCAGGCAACGGCACAGCACTTGGATGCCATGGGCTTTCGGGTGTTTGCCAGCGTGCTAGACACGCAGGGTCCTGGTGCCCAGGAGCTGCGCAGGAGCTGCTCGCCGAGGCTGACACTGCTGCAGCTGGACCTGACGAAGCCAGAGGACATCCAGCGTGTCCTGCAGCACGTCCAGACCCACACCAACAGCACAGGTAGAAGCCCTTGGCACCCCCTAGGACCCCACGCAGCTCCCTGGGACCTCAGCTTGCAGCCAGCGTGCCAGTGTCAAGCCTCCATGTGCTCCCCACCAGGAGTTGCATCCCTTCGGGCACCCGTGCTGACAACCTCTGCTAATGGGGCTTGTCCTGGGGCACCCTGTAATTCCCCTGCAGGATCCCCCTCACCAGGGAGCAGCTGGGATCTCCAGGGTGGGGGGTCCCCCATTCGGGTCACCTCTTCAAGCATCCCATCCCTGCAGGGCTTTGGGGCCTGGTGAACAACGCTGGCTTCAACGACACAATTGCCGATGCTGAGCTCTCACCGCTGGGCAAGTTTCGTACCTGCATGGAGGTGAACTTCTTTGGTTCGCTGGAGCTCACCAAGGGGCTGCTGCCCCTGCTCCGCTCCACTGGCGGTCGCATC